GACTTAGCTTTTTCTTTTTTTTGTTGAGAATAGCGTTCCTTGCTGTGTCAGCCAGGTCTGGAGGTCTCGCGGCAGACTGGAGGTACAGTGGGGCGATGATCTCAGTCGCTGCAAACTTGCCACCTCTCTGGACTCAAAGCTGATTGCTTGTTCCGTCAGCTTCTGGGAAGTCGCTGGTACAGGGGTTGTCCCAATTGCCAGGATTACTTTGGATTTTTGGAAAGAGACAGGGTTTCGCTTGTGTGCCCAGGCTGTCTCGAACTCCTGACTAAGAGTGGATCTTTTCCCACCCCCCCCAGCCCGCCCCCCCCCCTCCTCGGCCTCCGCATCAAGCTGGAGGATTATAGGCGTTGAGCCGTCTTGCACCTGGCCCCACAGCCTCGTCTTTGGAGTCCTCAGTTTGTTTTTTTCTCTAGGGGTGTGGACGGAACAAGGGTGCCTTCGGGCCTCAGTTCTTGCTGGGCTGTGCTGGGGTGCTCGTAGATTTCTGTTTCCACCTGCAGCACCTCAGCTTTCCGGTTATTTTGGCAGTATATTCGTGTGTTCGTCTCTTGGGGTCCGCGAGTTGGTCATCCATTTGCGTTTTCTATGTTTAAGATTGCATGTGTGGAAGCCGCCTAGGACGATCGCGTGCTAATTGTTCTATATGTACACTCTGGGTTTTCTGGACAGATCGTTTCAGCTGTTGCTTTTTCGCTATTTTTTTTTTTTTTCGAGACCAGGCGGTCGGTCCCGGGTTCTGTCCCATCAGGTGGAGAAGCGGAGGGTGGGCGCATGATCTCCTCATCACGTGCAACGTCTGGGGCGCTTGCAGGTTCAAGCGATTTCGCTGCTTCAGGCCTCGCTGAGTAGGCTGGATTGACAGGCTGCTGGGCCACCATGCCTGGCTGTTGATTTTGTGGTAGTTGTTTCATATTGAGAGCGGGGGCCTTGTCAGCGCCGATGTTAGGGCCGGGGCGTGGCGGAGAGCTTCGCTGGCTCAGAGTGATTCTGCTCCACGACTAAGGCTTCCTGGAGTGAGGTGGGGCGACGTTACAGGTGGTGAGCGCGAGGCAGGTGCCCCGCCCAGGCTTTGTCTTTTGTCGTTTCTGGATTTTTTTTTTTTTTTTTTTTTTAATTGCAGGCTGATGGTGTTTTTACATTTCCCATAATTTCCAGAAACTTTTTATTTTCCTTTGTGGTTCTGAGGAAACATCATCTCGAGTGTCTTCTGCGGATGCCCTGCCGTTCGCTGTCTCTAAGGATACTGGGGTTTTGTTTTGCGTTTCCCCTGGCTTCCTGGGTGGTTTTCTCCCAGCCTCCCCACTCCGCATTCTCTACTCTGCGTGCTCTTGGCTTTCCTATTGGAAGCTCTCCTCCACGTTCTGCGTGAGACACCAGCCCACTGCCTGGCAGGGCTGTGCAGGGAGCCAGTTTTTCTGTGAGGAGGTCCCCAGCTCCTGACTGGAAAACTGGCTGCTGGCTTTTCTGGGGCTCGGTAGAGAAAGGCCCAGAAGCTTCGCTGGGCAGTAAATAGACCCGTCCCTCTCTCCTTTTCTGCTCCGAGTAGTGCCTGGTGTCCTTGACTCCATGATCTACCAGGAATAGCTGCCCCTCTCCTTTGGGTTCTGGGGGGTGGTACCTAGGAGTCTGACCTCCTCCTACAGAAAATTCTTTCCCCATCCTTCATATCTGGGAACCACTTGTCAAGCTCCAGTGTTCCTTGGTGCTCTCCCCCCATCCCTGGGAGGCAGTGTGGCCAAGGTGGTCATTTCACAGGTGGGGAAATGGAGGCCAAGCAGCTTTCTGACATGCCCAGCTGGGTGAGTAGCAGGGCTGACCTCTCACGGTATATCAGCCCATGCTCGGGAGAAAATTTCCCCAAATACTCACCATAGCCCTTGTTTATAGAAGAGCTGCCTGTCCTGTGCTAAGATTTAACACGCACGGTTTCCCTGAACTCTCGCAATCACCACCGTCTCATGGATGGGGAAACTGAGGTCCAGAGAGGTTGCCCAGAGGCCCATAGGTAGCAAACAAGGATCGTATTATGTTTTAACATTATCAAAACTAGCTGTTTAATAATGGTGCCATTACTAATAATGTGAGAAACTGTAACAGGGACTTTCCTGCAACTTGCCTGATCATCCAGAAGCACAGAACTCCATGGGGGCCAAGAGCTGCCAGTTTGTGGATTTTCACACGTCACCAATGGTGGCCACATGGGAGGAGGGTGCCAGGTGAGGGACTTAACCCTGCGGGGAGAGAAGGGGTTGGCCCATCAGCGTGCGCTGCATGACGACCACCAGGGGGCGCCATGACACAGCAAATACGCACTATTCAGCCTGCGGGAACAAGTTCACCCACCGCTGGCTCATCTGCTCAGCAGGTTCACAGATATTTACAGAGCACCTACTGTGTGCCAGCAAGGCACCTGCCCTCAGTAGACACAAATTGGCTGGGTGCGATGGCTCACACCTGTGCTCCCAGCACTTTGGGAGTCCAAGGCAGGTGGATTACTTGAGGTCAGGAGTTTGAGACCAGCCTGGCCAACATGGCAAAACCCCGTCTCTACTAAAAACACAAAAATTAGTGGGGCATGGTGACTTATGTTTTTAAATCCACATACTCAGGAGGCTGAGGCAGGGGAATCGCTTGAACCCAAGAGGCGGAGGTTGCAGTGAGACAAGATTGTGCCACCGCACTCCGGCCTGGGTGAACAGAGTGAGACTCTGTCTCAAAAAAAAAAAAAAAAGATTCAATAAATTAAATACGCAATTTGTAGACTGATTTCT